CATTTCTTCATATTCGGACTCGAGTCCGAATAAGAATTTTTTTATTCGGACTCGAGTCCGAATATGAAAAAATGTTATTCGGACTCGAGTCCGAATAACGACGGCCTATAATTTAACTGTGTAAAACGGGCTCCTGTCCAACGCGGCCGCGGCCACCATATATTTTAACACACAACCCCTATCACACTAAGCAATAACTCCTGTCTTAGACGGCCACCTTAGTGACTCCATTACGTTTTGTCTATAAATCATAAATTGTGCATTGGCCCCTGGCGTTGTGGGCGAGCCGTCATAATTCAATCACCTGTCGTTGTTGTTAGGTAGTCCCCCTCCAACCGATCATGTTGCGCAGGCCCCTCCCACTGTTGTCCAATAGGTACCTATTTTCAGCTGCTGGTGAGGTAAGCGTGAGATCCCTCATATAACCTATAAGCCCCGCCCAGAACTCATATATATATATATAAACACAAATCATAAGTGAGATGAGTGGTCACTGTTTACCCAGTCTGTAACAAAGGACGTCAACATGAACTTGCGACAGAAGCGTCGCTCGTTCTCCGAGTGGTGGCGACCCATGTGTTGGTTTTAATATGGCACTCGTTCTTCCTCGTCTGATATATTTCGTTTTATCATCACCCTTGCGCAAAATAGCAACAAAATAAAAATTACAAACAAAATACAAACCAACAACAACAAAAACATCAACAATGCGGCCACTTTCGATTGGTACATCTAAGATGGGAATGGTTTGTTTTCTTCACCTTGATCAGTCCTGCCTAAGACGGCAACCTGTCTTATACGGCCTCTTTTCTCCTTGACAATGGGTGTCCGTCTTACACAGGTTTGACTGTACAACAATATTTAATGATAAAGACATTGTTGATTTTTTAATTTTTTGTTTTTACCGTAAAAATTTGAATTTTGTGTGTTCAACTGAGTCATTCCCTCCACTGTTTAGTCTATAGAGATACGGCCTGTATTTAAATTTTTTAATTCATTTTTTACAAGACTGTCAAATAACATCCTCCATGGTCATGGCTCGGCAGTTTAGCTCATTGAGTTTGAAAGGTTTGTAAGTATGAAGAAATAAAGAGGATACTTTACTGCTTCGAACTGTATTTAAGCTACTGCAGTGAATATATAGTACAGTTGTAATTTCTTTCAGTAGAACTAAGTGTTCCGTGTATTTTTGTTAACCTGTTGTTTTCTCTTTTTTTGATGTGTTGTTTATAACATTTTGACGTTTTGAATCATGTAAGTTTAAAAAAATAAATAAGTAAAGATTTGAATGATCCATTACTCTTTAAGTGAGAGTTTCAGCTGGAAAACTATTTTAGAAATGAAACAGAAATTGAATGTTGTACTAATAAGCTGCATGGATTAAATTTCTATCAAAACTGAATCACTGAATTGCCTAAAAGTATGACAGACCGAAATATATTTATATAAAAAATGATTTTTGTGGGACATTTAAAATAGACTGCTGGAGTCCTGAACTGATGTTAAAAATTTGACAAATCATGGCAACTTTTCTAAGCACTTGTTACAACCAATTTCACAGATTTTAATTTTTAAGTAAAAAATTATTGTCCTGAGTGCTGCTACTGGAGTTTTCCTTCCAAACCACTCAAACTTCTTGCGTTTACATATACTTAGATGTAGAAAGCCGTACTTGTGAATGTGAGTGCTTTTTATAAAAAAGAAAGAGTAATAAAACAGAACAAAAAATGGCGTATTTGATGGGTGAGCTTTGGCGTTTGTTCTTGAGGAAGATGTTTTCATTCTAGCTCTAAAACAGGGTGTTTTACTCAACTGTGGAAAAGATGTGATGTGAAATTTGTTGATAATGATGGTTCCACTATTTGGAGGACCATTGCAGGACAAGTGCAATTTTCTGTCGTTTCTTTGTAGTGTTCGCTTTGAGGGTGGGATTTGTTGAGCAACTGTCAGGGATAGTGGTATTGTTATGATGAGGGGGTGGGTTCCGCCTCCCAGGCTGGACATATAATATTTGTAATAGAACGTGGTGACATGTTTGTCTGATGAAAGGAAAATCTGTCATTTTGTAATGAACTCATTAATGAATCAAGTGACAAATTTTAAGTAATCACTTATGATCTAAATTATGTTGACTAGGGTGGATTGGGGGGGAGGAGTGCATAATTAAAGCACTTACATTTTATTTTTAAAAAAATGAAGTTTTGCTTTCAATACTGAATTCGATGGCTCAGTGTTTAGTGTCTGCATTTTGCCGAGAATTCAGAGGATGAAATATTGCCACTGCAGGGAAGTAGAGGAGGAAATGTACATCAGGGTTCCCACGTACGCACAGTTTAAATGCTTTATTTTAGGTTTTGTAAAATGTATGTAAGCTTTTTGTATTGTGTGTTGTTTTTGTACATGATATATGTTGTATTGAGTGCTGTGTACTGTTGACTCCCCATAGCGTTGTGTTGTTCCCCAGGTAGTGTTGTTCTATTCCATATCACACACCGGATTTCGCCGTGCCTCATCTCCCCCCTCAACCTCTCTTTTTCTTGCCCTCTCTCCCCTCCCTCCCTCTCTCTCTCTCTCTCTCTCTCTCTCTCTC